TTGTGAAAGGCTACTCAGAAATTGCACTGCCCCTTACTGAATTGACAAAGAAGGATAAGGATTGGGATTGGTCATCCCAATGCCAAGCTGCTTTTGAAAGGTTGAAGAAGTCCATGTAGACGAACCCGGTTTTAGCCTTACCAGATATGGCTAAACCATTCGAAGTTCATACAGATGCTTCAGATTTTGCCCTTGGTGGAGTCCTCATGCAAGAAGGACATCCGGTAGCATATGAGAGCCGAAAGTTAAATCAGACAGAACGTCGTTACTCGGCACATGAAAATGAATTGTTAGCAGTTGTTCATTGTCTCAGAGGGTGGCGTCACTATCTGCTTGGGTCTCCATTTATTGTGAAGACAGATAACACTGCAGTTAGTCACTTTATGTCCCAACCAAAACTGTCGAGCAAACAGGCTCGTTGGCAGGAATTCCTTTCAGAGTTCAATTTTATGTTAGAGTATCGTCCCGGCTCTAGTAATCATGTTGCTGATGCTCTTAGTCGACGGGCCGATTTAGCTACCATCTGCTCTGTAGCTGCTCTTTCAGGGAGCGCAGTCTCCACGAACACTAGAGACCAAATCCGGGCACATATGGAGAAGGACCCGGCTACCCAATATTTGGTCGACCTTATCAAGCAGGGTAAAACTCGACAGTTCTGGCTAGATGGAGAACTAGTGAAGACAAAGGGAGACCGTCTATATGTTCCTAAGGGTGGAGATCTGAGGAAATCACTAATCACGGAATGCCATGACACAATTTGGGCGGGGCATCCTGGAGAGGAACGCACTTGTGCACTACTACAACGTGCATACTACTGGCCTCAAATGCGGGACGACATTGCAACATATGTAAAAACTTGTTTTATTTGTCAGCAAGATAAGGCAGATCATCAGAAAAAGGCGGGCTTGCTGGAGCCCCTTTCCGTTCCATCCCGGCCATTTGAAAGTGTATCGATGGACTACATTATTGGGTTGCCAAAAGTTGAGGATTTTGGCACTATCATTGTCGTGGTGGACCGTCTATCAAAATATGCAACTTTCATTGCAGCGCCTAAGTATGTATCTGCGGAAGAGACAGCTCAACTCTTCTTCAAACATATTGTCAAATACTGGGGGCTGCCTAAGGACATCGTCAGTGATCGAGATCCTCGTTTCACTGGCATATTTTGGACTGAGTTGTTCAAACTTCTTGGTTCAACTTTGAGCATGAGTTCCAGTTTTCACCCACAATCTGACGGACAGACGGAGCGCTTCAATTCTATGCTAGAAGAATATCTTCGGCACTTTATCTCTACTTCGCAGAAAAACTGGGTAAAACTTTTGGATGCGGCCCAAATTTGCTTCAATGCCCAAAAGAGCTCTTCCACCAATAAGAGTCCTTTTGAGATTGTTACTGGCCAGCAACCGCTACTCCCTCATACAGTGGATATTGAACGAAGTACCAAGTCCCCTCAAGCAAAGAGCTTTTCTCAAGAGTGGAAACGAAATATTGAAATTGCTCGGAGTTATCTTGAAAAAGCTCAAAAACGGTATAAAAAGGCTGCAGATCTAAAGCGCCGTTTTATTGAATTCAATGTTGGAGATCTGGTAATGGTTAAGCTTCCCGACAGAAATGTTTACAAACCAACAAGAGGGAAGGACTCAAGATTGTCACCAAAATACATTGGACCATTACCCATTGTGAAGAGGATTGGAAGAGTTGCATACAGAGTTGAACTCCCTTCATGGTGTAAAATCCACAAGGTCCTTCATGTTAGTGTGTTGAAGCCATACTTT